CCACTTACAACATTTCAAAGGAGTGCAAAGGGGCCCAAGGGTGCAATAAAAAAAGCTTTAAATAGTCTTCAATGCTGTTCCTTGGGGAAATCGCCGCTCGCCTTAAAAGACCTAATTTAATAAATTTGCTCTTTAGGCGTTCGTCTTTTCGTTTTGCATCGTCTTATTATGGATTCATTCACATGCAGCCCTTTTGGTCTAAATATTGCCCCTCTTAGCTAATGCTTAACCATACATATTTTACTCTTTCAGGAGGACCACCTACATTCGTTTCCAATGAAACTGGGTTCATTAGCACCTCAGAGATAATACGCCGGCTGTATGCTTAATGTAAGCACTGATAAGTCTCTAATTTTCCACAAATAATTCCCCTTGATCTCAAGTAAAATTTATGCAGGGGGGGTAGAGAGCGGCGTGCTTTGACGTTGCTGGTCCAAGTAAAGTAAGTATGTACATAAAATGAATTATAAATGGCAGACTGTGTGTTTCAAGTGTGGGTAAGAGAGAATAAGTGAGTTTATTTTATTGGAGAGGGAGAGAAAATGAGTGTGTGTCACTGAGAAAGAGACTTTTTTATGCTTGCACTAGAGAGCGTATACAAGTGTGACTGTGATTCTTGTTGTGCACAATTGCTGATATTCTGATATGAGTATGAACTATGTAGAATTAAACAGTCTGAGAGCAGTACATCTGAAAATATAGATTTTTTTTTAATTTCATCTTTTATATTTCAAGAGAAAATGAAGACACTCAGAGGACTTTTTTTCTGAAGGTGTGTGATTGTGATGTCACCCATTGGTACAATTTTGAAGCCTTGAGTTTGCCAATATGGTTGTCGCTATTTTGTTTTATTGCAGCCAGAAGCAGTGATATACTGCGAGTTGAGTTGCTCTCATTGGCTGTGCAGTTTTGACTCGTCCGTAGAAATCTCGTATTACAGATAAAAAGTACACTAAAATATGTTTCTGAAATGGTTTTAGGTAAGAAATAGTAAACGCAGTAACAGAATCTTGATTCATATTTGATCAAATGGAAAATGGACTGTATTTGTATAGAACCTTTGTGGTCTTCCGACCACTCAGAGCACTTTTATACTACATGCCACATTCACCCTTTCACACACATTGATGGCAAAGCCCAACAGAAACTAACTCAGACAGCATCGGGGGCAATTTGTATCTTGCTCAAGGATACTCGCTCTACCTCTGAGCCACAGCTCTTCCTAGTTTGACAATTTGATCTGAGTTTAGTGCGTTAAGGAGGACGGACTCACTGAGAATGACAGTGTAGCCATGCCCTAAAGCATACCCTGCTTTATGTTCTATTTTACTCTAAATGGGTCCCTTATTTACTAAATGAACACCATGCTGTATGGAAGAAGTTACTGAGCCATTAAATCAAGTCAGAATTTCTCCTCATTTCTCCATAAGGCTCAGTGCTATCAGACTTCTTTTTTACAGCCAATAGAGCTGCCCCCTGCTGGCCATTAGAAAGAATGCAAGTTTAAGACACTTAAAGGCCCGGATACACCAACCCGTGTGGACGTCGTCGGACAGTCGGGGGAGGTTGGTGACTGGAGTCGGTTCGGTGTGTCCCGTGCCGTCGTCAGTTGGCGTCGGCGTTCATTTTGGTCGATTCGACATGTAGAATAGGCCAGTGGCCGTCGGCCTCAATGACCAATCTGATTGGTGGAGTGCTAGCCCTTGACTAGACAATCAGTGAGTGCACGAGAAAACCAGAAGTGACGATGGTAAACATACTACGCCAACGCCAATCTTGTTATTATTAGCCATCGTATTTTCCGTTCAGCGAGTAATGACAATAACGATCCTTCTTGACTACTATCAACACTCTCTGATGAAAACAATGACTGACAACAGCTTGCTCTGTGTTTACTAGGTCTAGAGTGATCCGTCATTTCCGGTTTTCTTTTTTTTGGGGGCGATAACACAGATTAGCGCCACCCTCTGTTATGGGGATGTATTACGCCTCGCGCACGGGCAGAACGTACGCTCCAGTCGGCGTCGGTTTGGTGTGTTCGGAGGCATTTTTTGGACCGACTCGGGGAGACAGGAGCCGACTGATCAGTCTGACTGCTTTTCTGCCGACAGTCGGCCGGCCGTCGGGTTGGTGTGTCCTGTCCTTAATAGACCCAAAAGCTCAGTCCACTAATTATATACTGTCAATGGCTGAGAGAAAATGCAAGGCAAATTTCAGAGGCAGTTTATTTACTGGGGGGGTAAACACCGGCAGTAAACACCCCCCCAGTCCTGATGCAAAGCTGGAAAAAACTGAGATAAAATTGCCATGGCCTAATAAATTCCATTGCCGTTTGAAGAACTCCCAAATTGACTAGACATCTTTTTAATCAGTCTCCTTTTTACCAACACAGTCAGGCTACACAGTCTCTGACATAGTCTAGTGGGTTTGTTGTGGGAAGTGAGTTTTTCCTGTGTGTGTTAGAGAAGTACCAGCATGTTGCTGCGGTCACAGAAAAGTGCTCTATGCTATTCTATTAGTGGCAGTTACTTTAGTCAGCTGTAACGTGTGTAGGTAAGCTCAAGTTGCTGCATAACAGGCACTGAAAGGCCCTGCCACAGAAGAGAAATAAAAAATACTAGTTACCAACTACAAACCAGGAGCCAACACAGGTTCGGAGCCACAGAAAGGTAACATACTGGTTCTTTTATGTAGTTGTATGGACATGAAAATATTTAGGAGGATCTCCTGGCAGAAATTAAATATAATATTCATAGCTATGTTTTCATTAGTGAAAATGTGAAATAAGAATTGTTGTGTTTTCGTTACCTTAGAATGAGCTGTTTTCAACAGAGGGAGCAGGTCCTCGTATACAGAGTCTGCCATGTTGAACCGCCATGTTTCTACAGTAGCCCAGAATGGACAAACCAAACACTGGCTTTAAATAGAACTGTTTGCGTTTTTCGGGAGTTTCACAGCCACTGTAGTTTCTGCTACACGCTTGGAAGACTGAGCTGTATTCAAATGGTGGCAATCTGCAACATCACCACTAGATGCCACTGAATCCTACACACTGGTCCTTTAAGTGTTGTACATCATTCTGTAACTGTATATGTGTCGTGTACAGCTGTTAATTACTTGCCTTTGCACAAACATGAGCCCTGCAGTTAACCTGCTCTTACTTGGAGCTGAGATGCTGGTAGAGATCCACAGCAATAATAAGCCTGATTGAGGCCGATAGAAGCAAATTAGCCAGTATGTGTTGGTGCTCCAAAACCAGTTATGTGTGTCTGTCACACAAAAGTGCCTCTGTTTTAATAAAACCTTGATACTGCAGTTGGATATGCTCTGACAGTGTATGAGGATTGAGTTGCACCAAGTTATAGTGTTGATATTGATTCTTTCTGGAGTGCTATAATATCACGGCATGGTACACTTATTTTTATGAGCAGAGTTGCTGATGTTGCATAAAAGAACAGGGTTACATACTCTTCTTTTAAAGCAACATTTCACTTTGCAGGTTTGGTTTCATCGGGTTAGAGTTTAGACCTCTAGCAAGAGGGTCTATTGACACTATTTTAATTAAAACTTTTTCAAGTGGTAATGGTCTTAGAATCAGGTTCAAGGCAAAAATCATGTTCAGTAGAATCAAACTGTCAAAAACTAAATGAGAACAGGGCCATGAACAAATCATAACTTTAAGGGTGTATTAGCACTATGGTTGTGGCTTTGCAGATCCTGCCATTGGTTTAACCAGTTATGATAACATGTTACTTACAAAGTTAATTGTTGAGATTTGGAAACACGACAACGTCATTGAAAATGAGTCCAACGAAACAAGAAACACGAGCAGTCAGATGATCAGACAGGTTGTAAACAATCCCTCGGGTTAGTCGAACTTAATATGATGAGAAAACATTTTTGCTCGTGTCCCCTTATAAGTTGTGAGCCTGATTTTCATCTCTCTGATTGTTCCATTTCAGAAATTTTAGAATGAAAGAGTAAACTACATTTTGTCAGAAATTTCAAACTTGCTGCTGCAAACATATATCTGAGATCTGGAACAAAAATCCTCAATATGGACACAGAATCTGCACAGTCAGTCTAGTTCCACATTTTGAGCCTTGGTACGAAGCCTCGGTTTGACGACATATGATATTTGTGAAAGTTGAACAAGCAAGTCAAAAATGTTTTAGGCAACATGTTGTCACTCACAACTCACACAGGGGCTCTGTGGTCAAGTTAGCAACAATACATGTTCAATGTCTGATTAGACTTCTTAGGTAAGAGATTGACTACGTTATACGGTTGGTTGATCTGATTGGTTGAAGTTTGCCGTGGTTCATCCAATAACCTGTTAAGTATTTTTTGAAAGTGCCTGTCTTTTTCCAAACAGTTTCAAACGACGATTTCCCAGATGGTTATGTGTTACAAACCATCTAGCGCAGTTATGTTACCACTCACCAAGCAGCAGTATTTGACGACTTTGGAGAGAGACCGGCTTGGTTTTTTCGTCGCCAGAGAAAAGATGTTTTAGTAGTCAGAGGGCCGCGAGACAAGTCTCCAGTGGGAGATGGGCTGTATCCAATGAGAGCGCAAAAGGAAACACACACACACACACACACACACACACACACACACACACACACACACACACAGTGACTTCTATTTGCATAATTCGCAGATTACTACACTTTGTCTGAGATCAGTTGTGTAATTTGTGCGGCCCCACATCCTCATGATAACAGTGTGAGAAAAAGAATGTCTTACAGTATGAGTAGTACAGTAGTGAGTGTCCATGTGAGTTAGTTAAGACATCCCTGGAATTACTGTAATTCCTCAGGGATTCACATTCTGACACAATGTTGGGAAATACAGTAAGTTAGTGTGCAGCAGATTGAGCAGTGATAGCCACTGATAAACAGCACTACCCACAGAAACTTCAACAGTAAAACAGGCCTCACCTCATGCTGTTTGACTGACACGTACAAAGACTAACGCTGATGTGTGAAGCAGCGTACCTGGAGCTGTTGCAGGATGTGCGCTCTGGGTTGGACCTGGTGTCTGCTGCAGCTCTGCTGGTAGGCCACCATTACCTCTGTCAAGGTGAGGCAGCTGTCAACTAAAATAGAAGAATGCACTTATTCAGCGCTTTAATGTCTCTGCATCCCAGTGAGCCACCAGCATCCATTCAAAAGTGCTTCAGGGGCTTGGAAATGCCATACGGTAAACTGTGCTGTGCTCTGAGTCTGTGTGTGTGTGTGTGTGTGTGTGTGTGTGTGTGTTTGTGCTACAGGGAAGATGGCAGTCACTGAGAAGTTTCAAAGACATGAATGTCTGTCTGAACAATAAATCAACCAATCAGGGATCTCGATTTATCAACCACAGCCTTATGGGATGGGAAATTCCAGATGTGAGAGACTACAGAGGATTTAACAACTCAAACACTTAAACATTTTGATCCTTGTATACCCTTCAAACGCTGGATAGCAGTTAAAACATTTGAGTTTAAAGGTCCAGTGTGTAACATTTAGGAGAAGCTATTGTCAGAAATGGAATATAATATTCATAGTTATGTTTTTATTAGTGTATAATCACCTGATGAGAGAATTGCTGTGTTTTTGTTATCTTAGAATGAGCTTTTTTTATCAACAGAAGTTGTGGGTTGCCTTCCATGGAGGCTGCCATGTTGAGCCAAATTAGTCTAGATAGGGGGGTTTGTGTTTTTTTGCACGTTTCATGGCCACCGTAGTTTCTCCTTCACTCTTGGAAGGGGAGAGTGAAGTGAAGGAGTTGCAATCTGAAAATACGCCACTTGATGCCACTAAATCCTACAGAGTGGACCTTTAATACACTGTAGAGATTATAAAACAAAGATAAATAAATTTCAGTTTTCAAGTTCAGTCTTCAGGTCAGAAGAACTAATTACTGAAATAATACCTAAAAGGATTAAATCAACAGTAGATCACAGCAGTTTTTTATTTCCGCATGCAAGGATACAAGAAAAAAACAGGGTCTCTTGTGATAACAGAAATGTCTATTTTATAAGGAGTACGGTCTAGACCTCAGGGCTCTTTAGCATCCTGGTTTTTGTAGGCCAAGCCAGGATGAGAATGTGAGACTAAAGCCAAGTTTAAGTAATATGGATAAATGCACGTTTACAGCTTTCTTCAACAGACCACAAGGTTAATAATAGATTCACAGATTCTGAAATGAGTAACATAACCACCCTGCATCTTCACTATAAGTGTGGAAAAAACCATAAACATTGGAAAATGTATTCTTGAGGAACATTTCCAATCATCATCATCATGAAACCAATACTACCTTTCATTGAAACAATATCAATCTAAAACAAGCTACACACTAATATCCAGTAAAGACAAAGTCATTGACTTTCAAAATAATAATTTGGCCGATAGAAAATGCAGATACTGATTATTTTGTTGTTATTTATTTGTTGTTATAATTTGTGCCAGTGCTGGAAAACAGAACTTTTTCTCCAATATCCAACTTAGAAATAACTAACACAACATTTAACCAGCGCAACACCGATGTGACACAACAGATAAAGATCAGCCACTGACATGGCTGACTGCTATCTTATTTGCAGATAGGCTGACGCAGTCAAGACAATATTTCGATTTTTATTAGCCGGTCCCAAGTGTGGATGATATATTGGTGCATCCCTATACAGAATGAGTGAATATAGTATTTACTGTTAAGAATTCACCCCAAAAAATACTAGTTTACAACGTTACCATTACAAAAACATTACAGTACAAGTATTTGCAATTTTTTGTTGAGTCAACGTATAACTGAAATTTTTTTTTCAATGAATGGCAACTTTAATATAGATGACCACCAAAATGACATTATGATATCATCATGATATTAAATTAGACTTATAGTGAACTTAAACAGCAGCTCACCCTTCCTGTCAGTGTTCCTGTGCTCAGCGAAGCCCGATACTATCTGTTCATCGGGGGGAAAAGACACATGCTTTCCTCCTTTACTCCTCTTCTTCTGGTTCTTGTTGGGGTTCTCTGCTCCATCATCGCTCTGCTCATCATTGTCACTACAGTGGGTCATCACTCTATTTAGGACTTCACTTCACTGCAGAGCTTTCTACTGGAATTTGAAAGCAAAGGTTCAGTTCACTCCAAGCGGTCAACGTGTCAACAACCACCACAGCCAATCACCTCCGGGAGCCATGGCAACAGATACTGAAGTAATACTTATTCAAAGAGGGAGCAAAAATGTGTGCAACAGTTGATGTAAACAGGTGTACCGGTGGCCCTCTCTGATGTGAAGTGCAGCTCTCTCCACTCTGTGATCACTTGGAAAGACAAGACACAAAAGAAACAATATCTTATTCATGAGTTGTGTGCAGGGTTGCAAGTGAAACCCAATATGTTTGTATCAAATGACACATTCAAAATAGGTAAGGCTCTGCACATTTGCATACCTATTCAAATTCAGCATTTACAGCAACATTCAGGAGAATGTATGCATTGAGGTGGGCAGGTCGGAAAGTATATCTTGAACCAGAGTTTCTCCTGGTTCAAAATGATCCAGGTCATACACTGAAGCGGAGGGCCCGAAGTGGCATAAGTGCTGCGTGAAAACAGAATTTAGAGGTGTGATATTTTAACGTGACTTTTATGTTATTTTCATACCACCTTTATGCATCTTTAAAGCTGCTCTAATCAATAGTTTCATTGCAGCTGGCGTCCCATATACGGAATTGCTGCAGCGGCCCGGGTTCGAATCGGACCTGTGTGTCATCCCCTCTCTCTCGCAATTTCTTTTTACTTTAATGCACACAAATGTGCTAATTGTTGAAAATGCCCTTTGGCTGTCAATCTACATTTTGACTACATGCAGATCTACCTTCGAACTGACATTTCAACCAGTTGGTAATGACAAATAATTTAAAAAAAAAGTGGAATCTTTTAAAATATAAAAAAACATTTCTGGTTGTAATTTTTTAATAAGATTTTTTTTCTAGGAGACAATTAACAGGTTAAACATTGCATTTAAATTAGGGATGCACAATAATTATCGGCTGATAATGGGAACTTTATATTATTATAAATTATCAGGATAACTAAATTGGAGCTAATAAATTATCGGTTGAGATCAATAATAATTTATTTTGAATTCTTATGCAAAATGCTTGACAGGCTTTATATTTTATGAAAGCCCCAAAGTATTTTTTATGAACTAAGCTCAAGGTTAGCTCAAAACAGAGTGTGTCAAAACAGAGGAACGTATGCAGGGCTGAGGTCACAGATGAAGCTATTAGTGTTTCCTAATTAATTCCACTAGTTTCTCCTTTTTTTATCAGCTGTTGACACACCAAAGAAAAGGACCTGAGGCTACAGCAACATTTATCAAAAACTCTTGAAGCATGAAGGACAAGCGAGAGATGTAAGCAATGCAAAATATACACAAAGTGGACTCAAATCCTCAAGAGCATTTTACACAAAGACCCAGGCTTAACTCTTAGTAACATTTACATTTAAAAAGCATCAATTAATTAACAAAATGCCAAATTAGTCAAATCATTTGTATTACATTATTATATATTTGTATTATAATTTGCAGTATATTTACAATGAATTTAAGAATGAGAATGAACACAGACAGGTATCACAGCAACAGTCTTTCATAGTCACAACCATGTTTTACTCACATGTGCCACACAACAGCCTTTCCTCAGTGGGTCCCTCATAGAGATTGACTAATATCTGCAGCCAGCTTCAGTGGCCGTTAGAGGAACTGCACTTTTTCTATGTGTTTGTTAAGTTTGTGACTCGGTTTGCAGCCACAGAGGTTGCTGTACAGAGTGATGTGTGATGCGGGAGGTAACAGCGAGCAGTGACAGACCACGCTTAGTGTAGCAGGGGGAGCGTGCCTATGTTCCCACAGCCCTATGTTCCCACAGCCCTATGTTCCAACATTTCTAAGATTTTTTTTCCAAAATTAGGCCCGATGTTCCCACAGTTCCTTTTTCATAAATTCGTATCAGATTTGGTAGCCAATTACACCCAACCTATTACCTTACCCTAACCCAATGTAGGAACACAAGATCTAATTTTGAAAATGTCCTAGAAATGTGGGAACATAGGGCTGCGGGACCATTGGGCTGTGGGAACATAGGGCTGACCCCATAGCAGGAATACAGCTGCCAGTAGTCAGAGCTCACAAAGAAACACAAAGAGTCCACAGGAGCTTTTACAGTCACTAGAAGCACATTCACTGCCATTAGCTTGGTTTCAACATATATAGCATATTAGTATATTATAGCCCAATATGTAGAATTCAAATACTTACCCAAAAATGTCAAGATTTGGATGTGAATTGATCAACAACACTACTAAATACCCATATACAGAGGTTTTCAGCTGGAAAAAAAAGTGGTTTAGGGGTTTAGTTACTCACTAAACTAATTACTAACTAAAGAACGTTAACTCATACACAACACACAGATTTTGGAAGCCCAGCGAGAAAACAGCAGCCCACAGCTCAGCAGCTGGATGTCACTTACACAAATATGAGCATGTGATGGAAAAACAGCATTCTCATTCAATTCATTCTTCATTCAATCATCAGTTTCTCATTAGAATGACCTACAGAATACCTTTTTCTTCACATTGGCGGGAATGGGCTTCCACACATTCCTCATTGTTTAGCTAAAGAAAGCCCACAGGTGCCTATGCCAGTCATACAAATACATGACTGTTGCTTTGGAATTGGTTTATACAACATGGGAATTACTTTTCTGTTTACCGTACGTTCGCCTCTGTCATTGGGGGGAACTCTTCCTTACCTGTTCAGTAAACCCAAACGTCACAAATTCGCATTCCACTAACTCTCCAGCACTTACGCTGTCGTAACTTACGCAGCGTAATCGACCAATAGAATAGCAAATTGTCGTGACGCCACTTCCTGACCGGTAGTTTTGAGGGAAGTTTGGTCCGCATACAGTTGATACCCTACAGTCTACAACAAACAACGTAAAGGTGAGTGTTCCTCTCATCGTTGAATAAAACGAGTAAGTGGCGGTTTTACTGACAACGTCGCAGATATCTGTGACTTTCTGTTTTCAAACGTCGTCATGTAACGTTAGCTAGCTAGCAGCTAACTTGAGCTATCGATGCTAACGAAACAGTGCGGTTAGCAGAAGAGCTAACCAGCATTTATACAAACGTAAACTGTTCTCCGGCTAACGTAGCCTTCCTGGACTTACCCTACCTTGTTCTTAGGCTTGCTTTGCACTACACAAACTGCTAATTATAATGCTAACTAATGTTGTGTTTACTGAACGTACAAGGTGCTTGACGTTACTAACGTTAACGACTAAACAGAAGTTAACGTTAGTTAGAAGAACACGTCACTCCCGGTTGTTCTTCATGCTTCAGTCATTTCAGTGGGACTATATGAGCAGTGGTTGTCTGCTCCCAGTATGGAGGAGCAGTGGTTGTCTGCTCCCAGTATGGAGGAGCAGTGGTTGTCTGCTCCCAGTATGGAGGAGCAGTGCTAAAGCCACAGATGACTGTGTGCCTTTCAGATGCCTCCAAAAGTCAAGGCGGCGGGGAAGGGCAGAGCTCCGGCTAAAAGGAAGCTGGCAGAGGAGTTCCCACCCGGAGAGGTACTGACAGACACCGGGAAGAAGGCCTGGAAGCTGGGGGCTCCAATCGGCCAGGGGGGCTTTGGTCTTCTCTATCTGGGTAAGGATAGATGGAAAGATGATGACCTAGTTCTAACATGTTTAAATGCGTATATAGATCATTTGATTATCATACTTCATGTTAGTTTTTACTCAGAGCCAAATATTTGTAGTGCTTAGCTATTTCATGTATTTCAATGCAACTTTGCACTGTACAATTTTTCCTCTTCTTCTTCCCCAGCTGATGAGAATTCTGCCAAAGCTGTGGGTGAGGATGCTTGCTATGTCATCAAAGTGGTAAGATTGAACAACCTCAAAACATGAGCCGAAGTTGTCTAGTTTAACACACTGTACTTCATATGTGTACGTCCCTAAAAAGCAATAGACTACCTCCTCGATACCAACGCAGCCCACTTCCTTTAGTACAAAGTAGTATTCAGTTCCATGTTGTTTACAGTGGCAAGGTTTGTATAAAGTCTTGATTATGTTCATTGTTCAAGGTTAGGAGTATGCTTGAATTTGAATATACACCTTGAAAATGGCTTTATTTTCAACATAATCTGGTATTTAATCTACACAATCACAAACCAAAAGTCTTTTGAAACTTTATTATACTTTATATATATATATAATGTTTTTATTTGCATTTACATTAACAATTTAGAGGTAGCGATAAAGTCTTTGAGAGTCAGGAAATTGGTCAGGTTTGTTGGGATCGAGTGTCTCATTTGATTGTAATGAGTTCAGACCAGTCAGAGCCTGACAGGACTCCTTCACAAGTGTTTTATTTTGTTAAACCAGTCTGGTCGGCTCATCAGAGCCTATGAGCTGGAAGAGAAACCTAACACAATAAACAACTGCCAATTTCCTAGTTTATTGATATTTAAGATGGTGGATTAATAATATCTGTACATTCCCAGCACAATCCTGGTTGATAAACTTTTACATTAATGCCATAATCCCACCCTTTTATGTCCCAACTGTGCCAGTGATATGTTTCATAGTATTATTAACCACTATGCCTGATAAACATTCAAACTCATGAATGGGTCAGTTACACTGGACAGTTTGAACTGCATTTCAATGTTTTACCTGCACCTGTAGGTACACTAGGGATGTAAGACAACAGTGATACACTTCAGTATTGCAATATTTTGTTTTGTGATATTGTCGTTATCGTTTCTTTCCTGGGTTTGTGTTTAAAAGCTAGATAGCAGTGTAAATGTAGACTGAGGGCTATGATGTTGAATGTTAGAGGAATAAATACAAATTTCAAAATTTTATGCATATGGTGGTATATTCTTTGTACTGTAGATTAAAACTGTAGTATATTTATTAGTTATAGGGTTTACGATTCAAAATTGTAATGCCTTACAGTATCACAATATATCCGAATATATTAACTTGTAACCCCTGTATCATGAGACGTATCATATTGCTAGATTTTTGCCAGTACACAGCCCTAGTAACAACACAGCCACCCCAACACAGCCCCTTGTTTTTACAGTGCTATATTTTGGTCTAAACACAATAGATTGTGTAGAATGTAGACATTAATGGACTTGTCTTTTGTCCACAGGAGCCCAGTGACAATGGACCACTGTTCTCTGAGCTCAAGTTTTACATGAGAGCTGCTAAGCCTGATCTGAGTAAGCCACCTCATCTTTCCTTATAAACGCATACACACAAACACCTAGAAGTATGTCATTAAGCCAAAGTTAGCCTTGTGATCATAACACAACATAGTCTCTCACCACCAGTGCAAACAAATAAAAGAAAGCCAACTTTCTTAATTAAAAGACCGTCTTGTAGCTGCAGCACCAAGGGGCCCTGTAGAAGAAGGGAAGCTTTGGGTGGCAGTGCCGTTGGCCCCCAGGCCACAGCTTTGCATTTTATATAATAACAATCCAAATGTCAATCTCCCCTGACAATTAACTGTTATATTACTAAGGAACCAAAGGCTCATATTTTATTCATGCTGGAATCTCACGTTGTTGGTAAATATTTGTCCCAGCAGCAGATTAGCTTGCGGCCGCGCTGCCCAGCTCCCCCCCACGGAATTATACTCTTATTACTTTGAGCATCACAGCCATCA